TGTCCTCAGTTTTCTACTGAGCCAGTCTCCCCAGACCAACTGACTAAATGACTGTCAACTAAGCAAGCAAGTTCCAGAATCCTTGCTGCCATCCCAAAGTCTCAGCCAGTCTTAGAACCAGGAATTGTTTCCAGGTGGTGCTAAGCTACACTCAGGGCTGGACAGATCCAGATGGCACAACCGAACTCCCAGAACTCCAGGCTAGCTCCATTGCCCTAGTACAGTAGGCCCCCCTTATCCACGGGAGATACGTCCCAAGATCCCCAGTAGATGCCTGAAAGCTCGGGTGCTACCGAGCCCAGTATATACTGTTTTTTCCCATACATACATACCTATGATGTTTAGTTTATACATTAGGCAGAGTAAGAGATTAACAATAACTAACAATAAAATAGGAGAATTATAATAATATACTGTAATAAAAGTTAGGTGAATGTGGTTTCTCTCTCTCTCAAAATATCTTACTGTACCATACTCATCCTTCTTGTGATGCTGTGAGATGATACAACGTCTACGTGATGAGATGAGGTGAGTGAAGGACACAGGCACTGTGGTGCATTGTTTTCAGTCTGCAGTTGACCATGGGTAGCTGAAATCACAGAAAGGCAAACTGCATATAAGGGGAGAGTACTGTAATCATATGACTCCATATTTTATGCAGTTTTAATAGAAAAAAATATCCTCGCCTCCATCTTGTTGCATTAAGAAGGGATTTTCATGCATTAGGAAGCAAAATTGGCAGCACCAGGTGCTTAACTCAGTGTGGGGAAAGGACAGGGAGGGAGAAGAAATAAAGAACGATGACTCACGAAGACAGTCCACACAGGAGAAGGAGCAAGCTTGGTGGCATTGGTGGGGGTAGTCAAGGGTGAGAAAGAAAAAGCTTAGGCCTGGACGACTTAAGTTTGAAGTGTTCTGGGACGACATCCAGGCAGAGGTGACTTGAAAACTGTTGGCTGCGTGGCACTGAAGCTTAGAAAGGTCTAGGCTAAAAACATAGACCTGGAGGTCATCAGCTTTAGAGCGATAGTTGGTACTTTGGGCATTTCACCCAGAGAGAGTGTGTAAAATCTGAAGTGCCACTGGCTGAGACCAGAAACCTATTACCCAGCCTCCCCAGGATGCTTCTTCCTGCATTCTTCTTGCTGTCTCCTGTGTCTGCAGGGACTTTCCTCTTTTCTCTGCCTGAAACATGCCTGCTCTTCCTTCAAGGCTCCACTCTAGTCCCATCAATTCTTTCGAGCCCTTCCTGGATCCCGCACAGTTGCCCCTCTCTCTACTCCTGCACCGTTCTATACTTACCCCTATGACAGCACTTAATATTGCACTGTAGTTGTTTCTGTCTTCTTAAAGGTGTGGGTTTCATTTTATCAACTTGCTATTCACTGTCCTACTCCTAGAGGGTTAGTAAATATTTATACAGAAGAAAGAAGGGACTACCAGTCAGGAGACCTGAGTATTAGTCCCAGGTTTGCCACTGATCTGCTCTGTGACTCAGGGGATCACTTCTCTCTGTCCTTAGTTTTCTCCTGAATAGAAGTAGGGAGGGCCCCTTCTGGTTGAAGACTAAGATTCATTGAATGAATTTCAACCAGCCATCCTCAGGTCGTGGGGGAGAAAGCAGCAGATTGGGAATAAGATGACTTGGGTTCTGCAAAAGTCCACTTTGTGGACGCTAGTGGATCCCCAACCCAACTCTCAGGCTTCCCGAAATGTAAAGAGAAATGCTTCATTGAACCTGGGTTCCTTCCAGAGCAGAGGTTCTGAGTTCATTTCAGGGGACATGGATCCCTGTCCACCAGGGGGAAGCATGCATATGTGGGAATGGTGACCAACTGGAAAAAGCTCTGATCAAGTTGCAGTTTTATTTTTTCTGCCCTTGCTTCCTGCCCACAAGGGAATACATTTCTTCTACCCCTCCCCCACTCCAGCTTTCCCTATTTAGCCTCAGGTTGTTTTTTTTCTCTCCAGCTTACGATTTGGCTGCAGCCAAAGTCCGGCCGGAAGCCCTCTGGCAAGCCTCAAGTACTCCTGCTTCCCAGTCTTCACTCATCTATTTCTTTTCCTTTGAGTTGAGTTTACTCATATACCATGTGCGCCCCCTCCCCTTTATTTATTCACAGCCTACTTGCCTTTAAAAACTCAGCTCAAATTCCAATTCAGTTCATTTCAGCCGAACCTTTATTTTTTTCTGAGGGCTCATTCTCTGCTTGGCTCAGTTCTGGGCACCGGGGATGGTGCACTGAGTCAGCCAATTCCAGCCCTCGGGAGCTCACAATGGGCTGGGAGAGTCCAACACAGAGATCATTTCCTCATGGTGTGGGAAGTGCTGTAAGAGAGGTCAGCGAAGGCAGCTATGGCGGACAGAGCTGGGCCCCTGCCCGGCGGCATGGTGGGTGGGACGGGCAGGAAAGGCTTTTTGGAAGGGATGGTGCTTGAATTGAGGGTAAGAGGAGGGGTTGTTTGCAAAATGAAGAGGTGTCAAGAAGTGTGCTGCAGGCAGAGCCCCCTCTCCGCCATGCGTGTGTGTTGTGCTGCCTCCATGTCAGGTAGAAATTCCACCTTTTTCTACTCAGGGCTGCCACCACCATTTCTAGGGTATTATATTAACTCTGGCTCCTGCTCTTTGAAAACTGCCCATAGAGTGACTGGGAAGGTGAGGGGAACCTAAAATCAGTCATATAAGGAACAGTAGATAAATTACGCATATTTAGACTGAAGAGCAAAGACTGAGTAAAAAGGAAATGGATTTTTGTATAACACTGAGTTCCCAAGGGCAGGAGGCAACTTCAGCTGAACACAAGAAAGAACTCTCTACTGGCCTTTCTTCGAAAGAGAACAACGTGTCTTGGCAAGTTGTCACTGGACAGTTTCAAATACATATCCCCATTTGGCAGTCATACTGTAGAAAATGATGAGAGTTGGGTAAGACGACCTTTAAAATTCTTTCCATGGGTGGAGTCTCTCATACCACACCCCACCTCCACCATGGTCTCTTAGAGACCTTCTGCTGAAAGCTTTCCCTGACTTTCAGCACCTGCTGATTGAAGTCCAAGCTCCACAGCACAGCACACAGGGCCCTCACCCACCTCTTCACTCACATCCCTGCTCACAACATGGCAATACCAAACCACTTATGCTTCTCTGAGCACTCACGCTGTGTTCTGTGCTTAGGATGCCCTCCCTCTTTGCCCAGCTCTTACTTACTCTCAACACTTTGCTCTCGCACTCTAGTGGGCGTTTGTCACCTTTCGTGTGCACCATAATTTCCGTTTGGTCAATTAATTCTCTCCCACTGCGTCTCGATGGAAGGGTAACTGCAGGGGCCTACCTCCTACTACCATTCAGAAGGAAGCTGAGGGGGTCAAGTCCTCCCCTTAGCGTCTCTAGTTTCAGCTAGGAGGCAGGCATGTGACAGAAGTCCAGCCAACTGGGCTTTCTCTCCAGGTGCTTTGAATCCAAAGACATAAGGAATAGATAGAGGTGATCTGGTGGTTGGGGGCAGGGGGAACAGTGTCCTGAACAGGCTGTTCCAGCATAACATGGTTGCTGTGGTTTTTCTTCCTACTTCTGAGTCTTCTGGAGTGCTCTTGGTTCCTACATATTTCCAGGTCAATAAATATTTATAAAATGAATAAATGAAGTAGAGGGATAAGGGTCAAAGACTTAATTTAAAGCAAATTACATACAAGGTTAGAGCATTTAATGATTAGAACCAGAGGGAAAGAGATGGAAATAAACAGGAGAATGGCTACATCACTAAACAGAAATGAGGGAGTGCTAGTTTAGGGAGGAGAGGGAAGAAGGATAGGGAATCAAATATTTTTATTATAATCTCTTCTCCAAGACATCTCCATTTATATACACATCAACTCTCCTCCTGTGGGGATGATAACAGTCCTATTATGATTTTAGGTTGAGTCAGCTTCCTGGTCCCTGTTTAGGTGGGTAAAGGTGGGTCTCAGGCCAACGGCTATGTCCTTATCTTTAGAGAATGTTCAATTTAAAGAACTTGTCAAACAGCACATATCCAGTGGCAGGAGAAATCAAAGATGACTTGGAGGTTTCAAACCAGGAGGATATGGGGCCACTATGAGAAGGCAGGAAGAAAATGCTGAGCTGGAAATTTCAGCAGGATGTGGGTAGAGAGGATGCGGAGGCAGCAAGAAGTAGGTGTTGCCTGGATGAGATGTTGAAAAACAGGTTTATAAATCTCTAAGGCTGGTAGTATCGCTACTGCATACTTCTCATCACATGCAACTTACTCTGTGCAAACGCAGAATCAAGAATTTGGTGTTTTTCTTCTGCAGGCAAAAATATGAGATGGGTCCATTCACTCAATAAGTATTTACTGGGCACGTACTATGTGCCATGCAAGGTTCTAGGCAGTGGTAAATTGGTTAGAAAGCTACACTCATGGAGACAGATACTACTACTACTTAAATTTATTTGTTCACTTGTTTATGTGCTATGAACAATACAATAGAGTTAGGGGTAAGGATGGGGTTAGCATGGTTCTCAGAATCTTCAATGTAGAAGGTGATAAAATGACCTTGTAGAATGCCACTCTCACTCATCTTTCCTTTGAGTCTGATCAGAGGAAGCCAGGCAATGGAGACCAGGACTACAGAGTTATAACAACCCTGGAAACTCACTCCATGATCACTACTGTGTCACAGAGATACAGTTGTTACTTTGAGGGATTTTCAAACCTTTAACTTTTTATTATGTTAGCAGATGCTAACATGGGCAAATTAGGTCAAGTGAAGGAAAGAAAGAGAAAAATAAAACAAAGAACTTTAATATTAGCTCTTTCTTCTGGGACTTCTGATGAATCAATCAAGAAATATTTACTGAATAATGAGCTAGAATATTCACTTAGGCTTAAAGAAGATTCCAGGGTACACCATGTATATATTTCAAGAACATGTTCAGTTTGCATAGCAAACTTTATAAACTACACATTATCTACAATAATAAAAATTACGCAGAAACTCATGCCTATGAAGAGACCTGTTTATTACTGATAACACTTCATTTGGCTAAAACCACAAGAAATTCACACACAAATACTTAAAGTGCAAATTCTCACAGGCAGTACTTATGATACATCCTGGTGTTTTTGTAGGGAAAAATGAGCAGATGTCGACAGAAACTGTTAAAACAAGGGCACAATTTTGAACTACTGTTACACACTCAGAAAAATTCATTCTTAACTGCACATATTTTATCTGGCATATTCAATGATGTATACAAACAATTTATTTTAGCCTTTAACAAGAAGGCCTCACCACATACAGATGCAGACTCTTGCTTGAGTGGCTCTTGTAAGATACAGATGAATCATAATACTGGACAAAAATATACCAAATAGTATCAAATCAGTTGTGACTCACTGGAAGGTAGTGCGAGTGCTCAACGTGGCACTTACACTAGTGATGTGAAGTCCACATAGACACCTGCTGAGTCTCCTTGGCCAATATCTTGCTTGGAGTGTAAAATACTAGGCATTGTAGACAATTTCTAAATAGGAATATGCTCTGCCCTCTTCAAAGAAACTGAGTATTGAAGGGTATGCGTGCTCAATTAACATTGCGTATTACTGATTTCAGGAATGAGAATTGTTTTAAAAACTGAATTAGAAATTGTTTCTGATTGTGTCTTAAACCATTTGCTTCTTTAAAATAAAATCCCTTAATTCCTACTGTCACCAACTAAGCACTCCCTAACAGGCACTACACTCGGTAGTACAGAGGTGAAAAATGACAAATCATCACCCCTGCTCTCAGGGAGCCGACAGCCAGGTGCTCCTTCTTAGTCAGGGAGTGCCATGAACACACTGGCCGCCACCTCTGACTATATCCTAAGGTTCAGCGGTAACATAACTGTTCCAGGTCAGTTTAATTTGGCATGAACACTTTCAAAGGTCAGCTTCTAAAGGGCAAAGAGTATCCTAGATATGGTCTCTGTTTATATTTCTCACACTAAAGTCAGCGTGTGCACCCCTAGGGAGATGCAGCAACTGAGGGGGACTGGGGGGAGAAAACTGAGAGGCCACGTGATAAACACAGTGCTCCTTCCTGGGAGCACCAGTCCGTGAAGATTGAAGGAATCGTTTTTATATTAAAGCAGTTTTAATATGGAGAATGCACAATTCACTTACATTTTTAAGACAGAACATGAAATTTCATGATCAGTAGGCTGCTTCTGATTTTGCTCTCAGGCCCCTTCCCTTACATATTCATGCTCCTCCACTTCAGGGTTATGCTGGTGGAAAAATGTGAGAAGCAAACTTTAAGATATGTCACTTTGCCCTCCTCTTGGCCACTTTATGCATTCTTATATGTTCTCTTTTCCAAGTACATAGTTTTGAGTTAACAAAGAGGAAAGATGGGATAACGACTGTAACAGTATGGTGAATATTTTAAAGTAACCAATGGCAAACACGAACATTGTTTCCAACTAGAAGTAAAGTCATGCTATGTAAAGAGTCAGACAAAAAGAGAGTCTCTTCTTTCCACTGAGACTTCTCATGGCTCATGGTAAGATGCTATGAGGGACAAAGGTGAAAAAAGATTTCCTCAAATCTTGTGCTTTGGATGCTCAAAGTACAAGGAAACCTGAAATAAAATCAATTGACATCCATTTTTGTTAGTATGACTTTTTCCTCACCAGTTTCTAGAGCAATCTCAGAAAACAAGTGAATTATAAAAGACTATAATAAATTAACACACACTAGTATCCAGACAGACCAAAAAAAAAGGCTATGAAATAGACTTAACATTACTTCTCATAATGCCTAAATATTCTCACAATAGCAAAATAACAAAAAGTCAATAAACAAACATAGTTTATGAATAAGTTTAAAGCATTCTGAATGAATACAGTTAAGATTTCTTATCAGTGAGGTAATAGGACAATAGCTTTTCACAGTAACAGAATGTGGGAGGGCACCTAAGGGAAGAGGGAGGTAGAGAGAAAAAGGCATAAAATAAATTTGTCCAAGAGGAATTTGGATTTTTCAAGCATCACAAACATCAATGGAAAACATCTGAAAAAAGTACCAATAGCAGCAGTTCATAGAACAATGAAATTCTCCATTGAACTCCAGCTAATATCTTTGTTGCATCAACTCTAGAAGCAATCTTCTTAAGAAACAGGTGGTCTATTTCCTATATAAAGATATTCCAAAGTATCCAATCTCTTATAACCTCTATGAAGTTACTGAAGTAACTACATCCTGCAGAAGTTACTACATCCAAATAAGAATACCTAATATTTAAAACAAACCCCTCAAATATCCTATAATGCTTATACATTCTTCAAGATGAACAAAATCATGTTCAAGTCTCAATTTGCCAAGTTAAATTAAAAATACTATCAAGCAGGGCTTTTTGCAGTGAATAAGACTGCACTCATGCATCTACTACTCACCATATACAAAAACTGTCCTGGGAGCTAAGTTTTTCTAGATATGAAGTGAAACTCAAATGTTACTTTCAGTGCTCTTTATGATATCATCTTTGTTCCAACCTGAGTTTAAAAAAAAAAGTATTGGAAGGAACCTTACAAATCCATTTAGTATATAAACATTTAAAATTTTTATTTTATTTTTTTAAAAAGATCACTATTCCCTCTTATTCTGTCCTCACTGGAGATGAAGAACAGTTTGTCATACTATTTCTCACTTTGAGTCCCTCAATAAAAGACTCAAGTAATAAGTTAACACTTACTAAACTATCTCTACAGCTTTCCCCCTCCAGAGTTAAATGATCTTAATTCTTCAAGCTTTTTCTCAGCAGTCTTACTTCCCAACTTATATTTTATTTCTTCTTATTTCTGCTATATCCTCCCCTCCCCAGTTCCCATACAATCCTAAGACACAACATCCTAGCAGGAATTGAATCAGTAAGAGGGGTACTTGTCTCACCTCCTAAAACTTGGCCTGTTTTTAGTGGTGCTAATAAAGGTAAACAGAAGGGTCACTATCTGCACATAATAACAAATAAACACAAGTAAACAACTTGCCCATAGCCAGTTTATTCCTTACTTTGAGGATGGTAAGTTTGCCCTTCACAAGAAGCATCTCCTTTGCCACCTTATTGACCTTTCTATTGTTTGTTAATTTCTACTGTTTATTTCCAATGTATGCTTTGATCTTGCCCCACTCTTTCTTTTTCCCCAAAGCTCTGGAAAATCCCAGCTTTGATCTACACCTCAATGAGAATGCATTCATTTCCATGATATCGTTTATAAAGAAAAAGATAAACAACATAGAGCCCATGGCTGAGACCCACTGGCCAGCACTTCTGTCTCTCCTGGTTAGGCTACTGAATTTATCCTGTTAGGCAAGTGTATATCTATGCTGTCAAGTTCACGTTAAATATCATGCTCAGCCAGATTCGAGAGCTTGGCTAGAATCAAATAATTTCCTAAACATTGTTAATTTTAGCTGGATTTTTAAATTTTTGTGATAAGAATCCAAGCTTTACTAACTTTTCACCTTGATTCAGATGACTTAAATGTTGTATTACATTACTGCACTCAGAACTGTTCTCTTTATGATAGAACGACAATCGTGACATGGCTTTAGTGATTATGAATGGGCTATCATATCATTTTAGCTCCACTTTGTTCGTCAGTCACTGAAACACAGATACTAAAACCAAATATACATATTTTATATATATATATATATATATAGCATTGTTCACACCTCTTTGTAGAATATAGGCCATTTACTAAATTACAATCTACATTCCTAAAAGCAAATTAAGCAAAAAATTCTACACATTTCTTCTTCAGTGCAAAGCCTCTGAAAACAAACTCATTCAGAAATACATTTAGCTAGCTATTATCTACAGCCATACAACATCCAGCTCTAAGAGAGTAAGCAAGGAACAAATTAACAATAGTGGCAATACAATAATTTGAAAATTATATTTGGATTATATAGGTTCAACCAAATGTTAGCTGATAGTTGCAACAAACCAAACCGTGATTTAATACATATTCTAATCAGTTCAAATTGTGTATTATTATGATATTTTAGGAAGTAAATTCTCTAGTACCAGTTATCTCCCATAGGCAATTTGTTTAGAATAATTACACGCCAAGGCCTTGTTACTGTTACCTCTTAGCTATACTTCATGTGTTTAAGCTTTCCGTGAGCTACGTAGGACAGGATACACTTTAAGAGATTAAACAGCACTCCCCTATTAAGTTTTTCTTAGAAGACTGCAGAATCAACCAAAGTGACCTTCCAAATTCTTTTTTCCATATTAAAAAAGATAAATAGCACTCTTGTGATCAGAAATTCTATAGAAGCCAGAAAGGTGTCAGGATAAACTGGACCTTAGTTTTAAAACACGTAGTTTTAGTGTTTCATAACACCCAAAACCTGGAGGTTTTATTTCTTAGTAAAATTAGCATTCCTTCATCTGATAAAGGAATAAATCTACTTATAAAAATGTAATTCAAAAGTTAAACTTTCAAATAAATTCAGAGCTCCTTTTTCAGTTCAGATTCTTTTCTTTACTTAAAGGCTGTGAGAACTGACAATTCTAACAGGAAGATCCTTAACTACAGTTACGTTGAGCCTGTTATTATTAAGATTTTTATTTACATTCATAAGATTTTAAAATCAGCAAACCTATTTGATACAGAGGGAAAGCACCTATCCAGTTTGGAAGATTTTCCTTAACTGTCTTAAAACTAACTGATTCAATTATATTCAATGCAGGAACACTGTTTCAATTCACCCATACCCTGAGAAGGCACCAAGAAATCTGCTAAGAACAAAGCCTTTGGGAGTGTTGCCACTATTGTTTTATGTTCAGTAAACGTCAGAATTTTAAATACATACAATAAATTTACACTGCACCAAGAGCACCCAAAACAGGTGCTGAAACCACATAATGAAACATCCATTCTAAGCTAGAAATGCTAAATACTCTATTTCAAATACTCCAATTTGTAAGTTAATACCTGTGATGTAACAATGACACTTTTCCACAGTATTCTGGGAGCAATGCCATTTTCTTGCCAATTTTATGGATTAATTTCCTTAACCAACTCTACAATTATATAACATTTATCTGCTTTCTTTTAAAACCATGCTATACACAATTACAAGAATACAGAACTAAGCTTAATCACACTTTAATAAGAACACTCACTTTTGTAATGTTTTGTTTCTGTTAAACGTGTTACCATAATACTTTTAATGTAATGACTTTTGTTCAAGATTATGAAAACATTTGAATAATTTCTCTCCAGACCACTTCATTTCAAATTTACACAGTTTGTTTAGTCAGCCAACCAAAAAGAAAGACTATAAAAGCAAACAGATACTTGGCCAGATAAAATAGAGAGAAAGCTAACATGAGTTCAAACGCATGGAGTCCTTGGTAGTCCTGTTCCATACGCCAGTGCAAAGTAATGATGTCCTGGTGGGCACTAAACAGAACGCCAGATCAGGCCATTTTTGCTGGGCTCAAGAAAATTCTCAATCAAAGCCTCAATGAGTTTCTTCAGTTCCTCTTCTAGTAAGGCAGTGTCACTGAGGAGAAAGATTGAGAGTTTAGAAATTATTCTCATAGCCTTAAAATTTGCTTACATTGTTATGACTTTTTAAGAGGGCCTATACCTGATGGGATGACTAAGCAACTGGTAAACGAAAGAGAAATTCATTCAGTTAAAACAAAACAAAACAGGAGAAAGAACTAACACAGGTGGAGCAAAATGGCAGGGTGAGCTGACCCGGGATTCTCTCCCCTCCAAAATACAACAAAAGATTGGAAGAACTGAATTTCAGAGAATAAACATAATGCCAGCTCGTTAGAGACCTACAATACCAAGAAGGCGGAGATCATAAACCCTACTTACAGCCTCGGAGGCGCTGGAATGGGTAGGAGAGAACATCGCTCCCTCCCCTAGAGTCTGCGATGGCTGTGGCGTGGGTGGGGAAGGAGCGGGGGAGGGGCTGCACGACCGGGGGATCATCCAGGACTCCTGCCCTGGTTCAGTGGAGACCCGCTGACGGGGGGAAAGCATCCGTCCGCGCGGACCCCATAAACAAAGGGCCTTGGGAGACCAGAGAACAGAACTGATCTGAACCCAGAGCAGCGTGTGTAACAGCCCCCCCCCCCCAAAGCCAGTGGGCGCAGCCATCTTGCCCCAAGGCGGAGAGCACATAACACGTGGCTCTCGACCCCCCCATCTAGTGGCGACAGGCTGTAACTGCAACCAAATTCTACCACCATGCGAAAAAACCGCTCCTCTAGCATCCAGCAATTTATAAAAGCCCCCAGACCAGAAGGAAAACAATAAAAACACAGAATTAAGTCCTGAGGACTTGGAATTAGGTAAACTAAGTGATAATGAGTTTAGAGCAGCTATAATCAAAAAACTCAATGAGGTAGAGAGAAAGATAGAGAAACAAGCCGAGTTCTGGAGTTACTTCACAAAAGAATTTGAAATGATAAAGAAGAATCAAACAGAATTACTTGAGATGAAAAACACAATGGACCAGATAAAACAGAATACGGATTCCCTGAATGCCCATGTAGACACCATAGAAGAGCAGAGTAACATAATTGAAGATAGACAGGCTGAATGGCTCCAGACAGAGGAAGAAAGAGAACTAAGAATTAAAAAAAAAGCGAGGAAAATCTCCGAGAGATAATGGATTCAATGAGGAGTAAGAACATAAGGATCATAGGAATTCCCAAGAATATGGAAAAGGAAAATGGAGCAGAAAGTGTGCTTAACGAAATTATTGAAGAGAACTTCCCAAATCTAGGGATCGATAGAGAAATGTGTGTAGAGGAGGGTTTTAGATCTCCTAGATTTGTCAATGTAAAAAGAGCTACCCCAAGGCACATAGTAGTAAAATTGGCAAAAAGGAAAGATAAGGAAAAAATACTCAGGGAAGTAAGAAAAAAAAAAAGAGAATAACCTATAAAGGAGCCTCTATCAGACTGTCAGCGGATTTCTCTACAGAAACCCTACAAGCTAGGAGAGAATGGAGTGACATATGCAAAGCTTTAAAGGATAAAAATCTTCAGCCAAGAATACTCTATCCAGCAAGAATTTCCTTCAGATATGAGGGAGAAATTAAATCTTTTCCAGACAAACAAAAGTTAAGGGAATTTGTAACCAAAAGCCCTCCATTAAAAGAAATCCTCAAGAAGACTCTCATACCTGAAAAAAGAAAAAAAGGGAGAAAGGGGACACAATCCACAGACTAGGGAGACCGATGGATAGAACCAGAACAGGATAGCAATTATTCAATTATAGCATTAGGGTAAAGGTAAGGAAACTACCAAAGCAAGTACGATCTTATCACTCTAACTACAAATTAATAAGACGAGTTGGAATAAAAAATGAAAATAATTATTTAGGAGGGGAAGAGCAAAGTGTCTAAATCAGTATTGGTCAAGTAAGAAGGAGACCACCAGAGAATAGACTATATTATACACGAGATTCTAAATACAAACTTCAAGGTAGACACTAAAATAAAGTACAGAACAGAGTCACAAATCATAAATAAGGAAAAATCTAAGAAACCCAGCATAAGAAATCGCAGTATTACATGGGTAGTCTAAAGCAAACAGGAAAACAAACGCAGGAAAACAAGATAATGAGCGACAGACTGACAGCATTAAGTCCACATGCATCAATAATCACTCTCAATGTGAACGGATCAAACTCTCCAATAAAAAGACAGAGAGTGGCAAAATGGATTAAAGAACATGATCCAACGATTTGTTGCCTCCAGGAAACACACCTCAGCCCCAAGGACAAACACAGATTCAGGGTGAAGGGGTGGAGGACAATACTTCAAGCAAATAGCAAGGAAAAAAAGGCAGGTGTTGCAATTCTTATATCAGACCAAGTGGATTTCAAAATAAGACAGGTAAAGAGAGACACAGAGGGACAATATGTAATGATCAAAGGGACACTTCATCAAGAAGAAATAACACTTATAAATATCTATGCACCCAACACAGGAGCACCAAGATTCATAAAGCAGCTATTAACAGACATAAAGGAAAATGTTAAAAACAACACAATAATAGTAGGGGACCTCAACACCCCACTCACATCAATGGACAGATCATCCAGACAGAAAATCAACAAGGAAACAGTGGAGCTAAATGAAAAACTAAAACAATTGGACTTAATCGACATATATAGATCACTTCACCCTGAAAGAGCTGAATACACATTCTTCTCAAGTGCACATGGAACATTCTCAAGGATAGACCATATGTTGGGAAACAAGGAAAGCCTCTACAAATTTAAAAAAATTGAAATAATAACAAGCACTTCTCCGATCATAGTGCTATAAGGCTAGAAATTAATTATAAGAAAAAAGCTGAGAAAGGCACAAAGATGTGGAGACTAAACAACACACTACTGAACAAGCAATGGATCATTGAAGAAATTAAAGAAGAAATCAAAAAATACCTGGAAACAAATGAAAATGATAGCATGCCATACCAACTCATATGGGATACAGCAAAAGCTGTATTAAGAGGAAAATTCATCACAATACAGGCACATCTTAACAAACAAGAAAAATCCCAAATAAGCAACCTTAAAGCACACCTAACTGAACTAGAGAAAAAAGAACAAATGAAGCCCAAAGTCAGCAGATGGAGAGAAATAATAAAAATCACAGCAGAAATAAATAGTATTGAAACGAAAAAGGCAGTAGAAAGGATCAATGAAACAAAGAGCTGGTTTTTTGAGAAGATAAATAAAATTGACAAACCCCTAGCCAGACTTACAAAGAAAAAAAGGGAGAAAGCTCAAATAAACAAAATCAGAAATGAGCGAGGAGAAATAACAACAGACTCTGCAGAAATACAACAGATTATAAGAGAATACTACAAAAAACTATATGCCAACAGAATGGATAACCTAGAGGAAATGGATAAATTCTTGGACTCCTACAATCTCCCAAAGCTCACTCAAGAAGAGGCAGACAATTTGAGTGGACCAATCACAAGGAAAGAGATTGAAATAGCAATCAAAAACATCCCAAAGAATAAAACCCCAGGACCAGATGGCTTTCCTGGGGAATTCTACCAAACTTTCAGAGAGGATTGAACACCTATCCTTTTCAAGCTATTCCAAAAAATTAGGGAAGATGGAACACTTCCTAACACATTCTATGAGGCCAACATCACGCTGATACCAAAACCCGACAAGGACACCATGAAAAAAGAGAACTACAGGCCAATATCACTGATGAACACAGATGCAAAAATTCTAAACAAAATTTGGGCAACCTGAATTCAGCAATTCATCAAAAGGATCATACATCATGATCAGGTGGGATTCATACCAGGGACACAGGGATGGTTCAACATCCACAAATCAATCAACGTGATACACCACATCAACAAACTGAGGAATAAAAACCACATGATCATCTCAATAGATGCAGAGAAGGCATTTGACAAGATCCAACAGCCATTTATGATAAAAACTCTGGACAAAATGGGCATAGAAGGAAACTGCCTCAACATAATAAAGGCCATAGATGACAAACCGATAGCCAACATCATACTCAATGGGCAAAAACTGAACGCCATCCCCCTGAAAACAGGAACGAGACAAGGATGCCCTCTATCACCACTCTTATTTAACCTAGTACTGGAGGTCCTGGCCAGAGCAATCAGGCAAGAAAAAGGAATAAAAGGAATCCAAATAGGGAGGGAAGAAGTGAAACTCTTGCTGTTTGCAGACGACATGATCTTATATATAGAAAACCCCAAAGAATCCATTGGAAAACTGTTAGAAGTAATCAACAACTACAGCAAAGTTGCAGGGTATAAAATCAATTTGCATAAATCAGTAGCATTTCTATACTCCAGTAATGAACCAACAGAAAAAGAACTCAAGAACACAATACCATTCACAATCGCAACAAGAAGAATAAAATGCCTTGGGGTAAATTTAACTAAGGAAGTGAAGGACCTATATAATGAAAATTACAAGGCCTTTCTGAGAGAATTGGATGACGACATAAGGAGATGGAAAGACATTCCATGTACATGGATTGGAAGAATAAACATAGTTAAAATGTCCATTCTACCTAAAGCAATCTACAGATTCAACGCCATCCCAATCAGAATCCCAATGACTTTCTTTACAGAATTAGAACAAAGAAGCCTAACATTCATATGGGGCAACAAAAGACCCTGAATTTCTAAAGCAATCCTGAGAAAAAAGAACAAAATGGGAGGCATCACAATCCCTGACTTCAAAACATACTACAAAGCTACTGTAATCAAAACAGCATGGTACTGGTACAAAAACAGGTGCGCAGATCAATGGAACAGAATTGAAAGCCCAGAAATAAAACCACACATCTATGGACAGCTTATCTTTGACAAAGGAGCTGAGGGCATACAATGGAGAAAAGAGTCTTTTCAACAAATGGTGCTGGGAAAACTGGAAAGCCACATGTAAAAGAATGAAAATTGATCATTCTTTTTCACCATTCACCAAAATAAACTCAAAATGGATTAAAGACCTAAAGGTGAGACCTGAAACCATAAGGCTTCTGGAAGAAAACGTAGGCAGTACACTCTTTGACATCAGTATTAAAAGGATCTTTTCAGACACCATGCCTTCTCAGAGAAGGGAAACAATAGAAAGAATAAACAAATGGGACTTCATCAGACTAAAGAGCTTCTTCAAGGCAAATGAAAACAGGATTGAAACAAAAAAACAACCCACTAACTGGGAAAAAATATTTGCAAGTCATATATTTGACAAAGGCTTAATATCCATAATATATAAAGAACTCTCGCAACTCAACAACAAAACATCAAACAACCCAATCAAAAAATGGGCTGGAGACATGAACAGACATTTCTCCAAAGAAGATATACGGATGGCCAATAGGCACATGAAAAGATGCTCATCATCGCTGATCATCAGGGAAATGCAAATCAAAACTACACTAAGATATCACCTTACACCCGTTAGCATGACAAAAATATCTAAAACTAATAGTAACAAATGTTGGAGAGGTTGCGGAGAAAAAGGAACCCTCATACACTGCTGGTGGGAATGCAAACTGGTGCAGCCACTATGGAAAACAGTATGGAGATTCCTCAAAAAATTAAAAATAGAACTACCATACGATCCAGCCATCCCACTACTGGGTATTTATCCAAAGAGCTTGAAGTCAGCAATCCCAAAAGCCCTATGGACCCCAATGTTTACTGCAGCATTATTTACAATAGCCAAGACATGGAAGCAACCTAAGTGCCCAGCAACAGATGAATGGATAAAGAAGATGTGGCACATATATACAATGGAATACTACTCAGCTGTAAAACAGAACAAAATCATTCCATTTGCAATAACATGGATGGACCTTGAGGGAATTACGTTAAGTGAAATAAGCCAGCAAGAGAAGGATAATCTGTGTATGACTCCACTCATATGAGGAATTTAAAATTATGGACCAAGAACAGTTTAGTGGATACCAGGGGAAAGGTGGGGTGGGGGGTGGGCACAAAGGGTGAAGTGGTGCACCTACAACATGACTGACAAACATTAATGTACAACTGAAATTTCACAAGATTGTAACCTATCATTAACTCAATAAAAAAAAAACGAAAAAACAAAAAAACAAAACAAAGAGGGGGGCAATCACATACAAAAAAACACCATTATCACAAACTCATGTAGAACTGCATTAAAAGGAGTTCCTTGGTCCCTAATACATGGATGAGTTATAGGGCATCTAAAGATTTCTCCTGGGTCAGGCAATTTAATGGCTTAGAACATCAATACCAGGTATTAAGATAAAATAGCTTCCTGAAACACTTTGAAGAATAGCCAGTATAGATATCACGGGGTGATACAGCACGTATTTCAAGTAGCAGAGGGAGGCACGGCTAAAAGAATGAGATGTCTAAAAGATAAATACACACTTACAAAGACGCCCTTCAAAGTCATCACCTGATGAGCTCTTGTTGCCCAAAACATTTCTAGGACAGCCTCTTTTAAACTGCCTTCACGGTCACTTTACAAGCTACACAACAAATCAGTTTCTATTACTTTAATAATAATCCTTCATTTTTAACCAAATATAGCATTACCCAATTTGGTTTAAACTTTGTTCGTTTGTTTGGTTTAAACAACTTCAGGAGGTCTTTTCTTCCCCCAAAGGAAATAAAATCTACTCTTAAACACAAAGATTTAGGGAAATACAAAATAATGTACCTTGGGCTCTGAAGGTAATTTCAAAAAATCGCCTTCCCAAAAATATATTGATCAATGACAACATCATAGGAGGTATTACTTTTAATAAGTTTAAATGGGCTTTGAATATATTTATTAAAGTCAAGTTAATTTAGTCACAATTCATAATGTTAAAAGGAAATAAATTGGGCAGATCAAGTCAAATCATATTAGATGTAGAAAATGAATATTTGGCAATAACCAAATTATTTGTTGATCATTTCTTTATACTCATCATATACTAGGTAAAGCTCAGAGAGCATTCTCAGGAATATAAATTCACTAAAATTTAAAAATTCAATTCCCAAATGATGTAGCTGCTTTGAAAAACAGTCTGGCAGTTCCTAAAAAGGTTAAACATAGAACCACCATACGACCCAGAAATTCCACTCCTAGATATATATCCCAGTGAAATGAAAACATATGTCCACACAAAGACTTGTACACAAACGTCTGTAGCACCATTATTCATAATAGCCAAAATGTGGAAACAACCCAAATGTCCATCACCTCATAACTGGATTAAAAAAATGGGTATATCAATATAATGGAATATTATTGGGCCATGAAAATAAATTTTTTAAAAAAGGAATAAAGTACTGATTCATGGTACAACACAGAAACCCTGAAAACATTATGCTAAGTAAAAGATGTAAGTCACAAAGGATCACATTGTATGATTCCATTTATATGAAATGTCCAGAATAAGCAAATCTACAAGGACAGATAGTAAGTTGGTGGTTGCCTGGGGCTAAGAGGGAGGGAAGGAAATGGGTTTTCTTTATGAGGTGATGAAAATGTTCTAAAATTGATTGTAATGATACCTGCACAACCCTGAATATACTAAAAACCACTGACTTACACGCTTTAAATGGATGAACTCTATGGTATGTGAATTCTATCTCAATAAAGTTTTTATATATATATTTAAAAAGCCAATCCTCACCTCTGCTCAGGTAATGCACACATCTCTGCGTAATATTTTATCTTTGGTTCTGTCCCGCTTGTCCGAAGAGTGGCAACACAGCCATTTTGGAAAGTAAATGTAATCATTTGGCTGTTTTTACTCACAGGCAGCACCTAGGCACAATTGTAACACCATCTTAATTGCACTTGGTACCTTTTTCATTTTCAAGAGTTGTAAAATACATTCCCCTTATATAAGGTATCTAAGGTAGTCAAATTCAGTCAAAAACAGAAAGTAGAAGGGTGGTTGGCAAGGGCTGGGGGGGGGGGCGGAATAGGGAAGTGTTTAATGGGTAGAGAGTTTCATTTTAGCAAGATGAGAAAGTTCTGGAGATCCTCTGCACGACAATGTGACCACAGTTAACACTACTGAACCATACATTTAAAAATGATTAAGATGGGAAATTTTATGTTCTGTGTTTTTCACCACAATTAAAAATAAAAAATATTTTAAAAAGAACTATAAAATACAAAAGATTAAACACAAAATAATTCATAAATATACCATTTACTGAACATTTATAATAGTACAGGCATTAGGTTATATACTTTACACACATGAGCTCTGGGCCTCATCAATACTCCCACAAAGCAAGTATTACTGCCAATTTACGGACAAGACTCAGAGTAAATGACCCATGCAAGGTAACCAGCTGAGTGGCAGAGCAAGAAGCTGAAACCATGTCTGTCTGTATCCAGGTCCAAACTGCCTCTACATTTGCGAAGTGCTTTACAATTTCAAAGCTCTTTCACAGACAGTTTATCAATAGTCTCCAAAGCAATGTGCACATGTCCTAGAGGACAGGCAAAATAATCCACGTGGCACAAAAAATTTTTTATGTTTTTTACCTACACATTAAAAAAAGAAATGAAGCTTTCCTGACATTGAAGATGAATGGACACTGGCACTCTTCCTAGACGACAGAGCAGTCTGTGAAGGGATCTTGAGGGAACGGTGGGGGTTGTACTAGGACACAGGGGTTGACAGGGGTGCCTTCCCTGAGGCGTCCCGAGCCTGGTCCTCTCCTTCAGATGCCTCTCTCGGTCAGGGGTACTATTCTACACTAACTGCTTAAGACAGAGACCTTCCTCCCCTCTTTTTCACTCACAGATCATCAACTGGCAAGTCCTGCATATTCTATCCTGTATTTAACTCCACTTTGTCCACTCTCTCCATCACGACTGCTACTTTATTAAATGCAGGCTCCCATTGTCTATCATCTCAATTGCTGAAATAGCATGCTAACTGACCTTCCTGCCTGGAAGCTTGCCCCCTCCACCAACTCGCTGTACATGTCATTCTTCCTCACACTCCATACTACAGTTGTGGAGAACTGCTTGCGGTTCTTTGAAGGCAAACATGCCTTCTCACCTCCAGACCTAGCATTTGCTACTCCTTTTGTTCCTGAAACAGCCTCTGTTCCTCCTACATCTGGATAACTCCTACTCATACTCTACAACTCAGCTCACAAAAGTCCTCTACAAAGTCTTCCATAAGCCCCCCAAATCTGAGTAAGGGTCTTTCCCATCCTCTTCCATGGCACCCTATGCACCCCCTGGTAGCACTTAGCATTTTGTAAAGTAATCACTGTTGACTTGTCCATTTCCCCACTAGGCTCCCGAGTGCAGAAAGAGTGCCTTTGTCATTGCTGCATCCCCAGTGTGCTTGTGCCTGTGGCACAGAAGGATTTTGATAAATGCCTGTTGAACACACAGATGGATGACAGTCTGAATATGGAGAAGAATGAACTCAGGAAGACTTTGACACTTACAATGTGATCTTAGGGGATTAATAATATCTATACTACCTGCCTTACAAAATTGTTCTAAGAATCCATGGAGAACAGATAGAAAAGCGCTTTGAATAACTAATATCATAAACTTTAAAGGGAGTTAAGAGGAAAAAGAGATCACACCAAGAACTACTCTAAGCACAGCAACATTAGAGAAATAAAAAGAAAGAAAAAATTTAGTTCTTCTCTTCAAGTAGTTTACAAAGACAGAAAAACAGATCTATACATACACGCACATACACAGAATACCAACAACTGGGAACCAATATTTGTTGACTGGATGAATATACACAAAAGGAATATGGGTAGTATTCTACACGAGAGGCTGCAGATTTCCCAAAATATATTATGCCCCTTGAATCCCGAGAAAACCACAGAATAATTGTAAGTGGAAACTTAGGCTAGTAATAGTCATAACAAATAGTCATGACAGAATAAATATGATCAGCAATCCATGGCATTTGAATATTTGTTGAGCACCCACCACCTAGGCAGAAGCTTTGAGAGGCGTAAACGCTATCAGAAATGGATCTGCCATGTACAACATAGTGATAACATCAGATAGAAAGTGATAAATGACGAGAGGAAGGCACAATATATAATGAAACCTCAGGAGGAAGATATCGGACTACGGGATCTGGAGGGTATGTGGAGGAGGTGACATTGACCTTAAGTATTAAATAATGGCTAAAGTATGGACCTGCAGTAGTAGGAAGAAAAGGTAGACTGAGGAAATAGCTTGAGAGAAATAGAAAAAATGTGTGTATGTAAGAAACTGTAAGTTGTTCTATCTGGTTGGAGGTATAGGGAATAAGGTAGAAAAGGGAAGTTACAACTAGAAATATGCATAGCTTTGAAATTATAGGCTTTTAGACTTTATTTTCAATATTATTTAGCATCATTATACATTCTCCCTCCCTCCTGCCCTTTCTCTTTCTGTCTCTCTGTCTTTCTCATTCTCCTTCCCATTTCCACAACCCTAGGGGGAAGCACACACTTGGGGAGTGATAAGGACAGACTCAAAGAGACACTTAGTGGACTTACAACTGCCCTGGAGAAAAACAATGGATCCTAGTTTCAAGAAACGCACAGGCTTGAACTTCCACTACTTCACTATAGTGTGAATTATTATAAATTGTTAAATACTTTTTTTAAAAAAAGCATACTTACTGATTTCTTATTAGGCTGGCTGCTGTCATACCCAGTGGTAACGTCCCGTATATGCAAAATAGCAAATGTTCCACAAAATTTTGGATATTCTTTTGGAGAATCAAAATTGCGAAGTCTTTCAAATATACTTTTGATGGTAGGTGGATCATAACACAAGAAATACGAAGTTTTTGAAAGATGATAACCATATCTGCACAAAGGTTTAAAGTGTTAAAATCAGATTTCAGATAACTCTTTAAAAAAGTGTATATTAAAGATAAGCCTATTATAGTATTATGAAGAAAGTGGCAGACAATTTTAGTACTTTTGAAAAAGGACTATTTCTCAAAAACAAATTTAGAAAGCTAAAAGTAGGACAAAAAAATAAAAAATTTAGTATGTGAAATTCGTAACAGTAAAACTTACTTTTCATAAATCTTAATCAGTTGCTGTGTCAATGTTATATTCACGGTTTCCAGGTAAGATGCCATCTCAGCAACAACAACGGCCGCACTCACCCCATCTTTATCCAAAACCGAAGTTCCACACAGAAAACCTGAGAATTAAAAAAATCTTTAAAAACGAGCAAAACTTAAAGCTATAATAATTTCAATAGTTTGACATTTCTTCAGAGGGACCAATGAATTTAAAAGCCTAGTAATAAATGAAACCCACTGATACCGAAGGTATTAGGGGACCTTTAAGGGTTTTTTTTTTTTTTCTGATAAGAAATGCATCTACACATTTCTGAGTTCTCTGTGGTTTTTACAACTCAAAATGCAAAACCAGAAGACAAAAATTCCTCTCCATAAAATTACTACATTTAAAAAATGCTCTCATTCAAATTTCAAATATTTTAATATTTACTACATACCAATAGACTCTTCAAATGAAAAAAGGACTTCTTTCCCATTCTCCAGGAGGTTTTTTATCCTACTTCCAATCCATTTAAAACCTGGTAATGTTTCCTGAAATGCAGAAGAGGCCACTCTAGTTAAGTGACTCTCTCATAAATACATATTAGAGAAAAGCTTGTCACTAAATGCACATAACACTCTCAGAAATCTTCTGTTATGGTCTTCGTTCCACAAAGATTTACACAGTGGCAAACATACAGTCATAAAGTGCATGGATACACACAGTGCTACGACTGATGACCTACTATTTATCGAGCACACTAATGGGTGATTTATACCAAATATAATCCAGTATTTATAATTGACGATGCATATTGTCACAAAGTAACATAAATACACACGTATTATGATCCTCTATTATTTATCAAGCACTGTAACAGGTTCTTTACATCATTATCTTTTTTTAATGCTCACAACTGTTGCTGAAACAAGAGGCTCAGAGATTCAACAATTTGCCCCAAATTATGCTGCATATAAGAGATGGAGCCAGGATTCAATTACCCTGCTTCTCAGAAATTGTCCTTTAAACTGTGTCATAAGCACTAATATAAAAATACCCATAAAGGTTGTGATTTAGTTCTCCTGAATAATCAAAGGCCATAAAGCTTTTTAATGATGCACTTACAACATTATCACAACATATGCTTGAACCAAGCGTGCCTTACCCTAACACGATGGCCTAAATAAAACCATCAAGAACGTTACTAAGTTCTTTTTTGATCATTAGATTTGAGGACTTGTCATCTGATGAGCTACTGTTCACTTTAAAGACACAAACTGTTTTAGAGTCAAGAGAAGGTGTGTGATACACACTGACTGTGGAGTTCATCATTACTAATTTAAGATTGCTCCTTCACTGCTCTACCTTCTCACTAGGAAAAAAAAGATAAATAAAAGCTCAAAACCGCTGCCGCCCCCACCCTCCACCCCCAACAACAAAAACAAGGAAGCAAATTTATAACAATGGTCTTCGGAATCATGTTCTTTTTTCTCTTTTGTGCTCATTATACATTTTTCTTGCCGTAGATATAAAAGAGGAAAATGTTAACATTACCATAATTCAGAATCTTAGGCTTAATAAATTTTCAATTTCTTCTGTTTTGCTATTTGTATTTTAGAAAATCTGAGATTGAAAGTTCTACTTCATTAAGACAGGTACCATTTTCTTTTATTCAGCCAATTAGTGTTAAGACCTGTAGCTTGACTGTGTCTCAAGAAAAATGCCCAGAGATGACATTTTCACTGACATTTGGCAAAGATGGCAGAGGAAAAGCAACTTAAGTGGCATTAGTTCCAGCAGCTGTACAAATGGTCAGGTTAACTTCCTGAGGTTCACAAAGGTTAATGATCTGTGCTGAGAGAGTCATTATTTTTTTTTTTTGGATGTAGAATCATTAGATAAATTGGCAATTTAGAAGACTACTTAAGGTTTCTTAAGATTTGAACTTGAAGAGCCTAAACAAGCGGTCGATGACACCAGACAACTCTCTGGAGTGGAGTTTATGTGACTGATGAGGTCACGAGGAGTCAGATTTCTCAGTATGAAAACCAGACGTTGTATGGAATAACAAGCATTAATGCAAGTTTTAGAGAACATCTTATCTTAGTTTCAGAAATTCACATACTGGATGAATTTGTCTCAAGGTGTCTAAACTATCAAAAAGATTAAGCAAGTGTTAACAGAATCAGAAAAAAAGGGGGAATTATAAATGAGATCCATAAGTCAGTTTTGGTATGAAGATGGCTTTAATTTACAGAAATAGGTTTAGAAAAGTAGCACACAGATATTAACTATTCTTACTTCAAAATGAAATCCTTCTTTAAGGGCAATCGCCTTCAGAATTTTGGAAGAGACTGTGGTGGCTAACATATAAATGTTCTTCACATCAGCATTTCTTGATTTATTTTTCCTCCAGCAATCAAACATCCACCACCCAAACAACGCTGCCAACTCGTTGCCTGTGAAAACTTTCCAATTACCACTGTAGAGAGAATGAAAATTCAAGTCAAGATCTTATAACTTCTCATGAAAACTTCTTGACCTTAAGACCTACAAATTACCGTCTTCCACATAGGAAAACCCAAAAACTACTGGATGAGATTTTTGAGAAAACATTTACTATTGCTTTTCTAACTGACAAGGGGTGAGCTTAGGGTAGAAATGGTAGCAACATCTTCTGAAAAATTATTACATTGTTACTTTTATTCTCCTACTTAATGAGAAAAAGGTTATAATCTGATGTCCTTTTTAGGTAAGGACATTTGTCAAAACATTATAATGGCAAAAACACATAGCAACCCAAAGTACTAAGATTAGGAAATGACTACATTGATAAAGCAATCTGTTGGGATATCATGTCATTTAAAAAACTGATATTTAAAACAATATTTAAGGATAGAGAAAAATACTCACAATACAATATTAAGTGGAAAATAATCAAGAGATAAAACCAGGGTCAGCCCCAGTGGCCTAGTGGTTAAGTTTGATGCGCTCTGCTTTGGCGGCCTGAGTTTGGTTTCTGGGCGCAGGTCTACACCACCTGTCAGTGGCCATGCTGTAGTGGCGGCCCACATACAAAACAGAGAAAGACTGGCAACAGGTATCAGCCCAGGGCGAATCTTTCTCAGAAAAAAAAGATCTGAAACCATATCTAGTATTATCACAATTTTATAAAAACAAATATATCAAATATTTGAATAGAAAAAACATAGAAAGGAAATGTCAAAATATCAACCTAGGTGGTTATCTCTGGATAGTGGGACTTACAGGAGATTTATTTTCTTATTTTTTTTATTACTTCCAACATAAGACTTAAAATCAAAAACCGCTTTTCAAAGTTTAAGCTTTTAATCAAATAACAGGTTCTACTTACTTCTCCTGAAGTTCTGCCACGGCCAGTCGGTCTGCATCAGGATCTGTGGCTAGCACGACCCGAGCATTTTCTTTCTCTGCCAGTCTCAAAGAGAGTTCCTGAAACAGTGACCCAAAAAGCTGGATTGCATTGAAAATGTGAAATTCAATGTCAATATTCCTAAATGTAGGAACGATGTTAGTGACATGAATTTTAGAAGGAATATAGTTTAGCTGAATTTAAAATAAGCCTAGAAGTAGGGATATCCACCACAGAGATTTCAAACAAAACAGAATATACGGCTCCAATATAATCTAAAAGACGTAAACTAAAGCGGTTTCTGCTTTTGTAAGTAATCTTAGGATGGTCAATCAGTTCTATCTATTCAATGAAGTTTAATATACTACTAATAATTTAAATATAGAAAAAAAAATACCAGCACAGATTCTCCTTCTTCAGGATTTGGGCATTTAACAGTAGAAAAGTCTGGATCAGGATCTTTTTGTTCTGGTACTGGAATTGGAGGCTTAAAACCAAACACTTGAAAGGCCAACTGCACATAGTCATGTCCAACCCCATGAAAAGAGGAATGTACAAATTTCAAGGTGGTCTGTGAGTTTAATTCCCTGTAAAGGAAAGTCATCATTCAATTAATATCATAAAACTCATTACTTGTGATATAATTAAAATAAGCTAAAGAAAAAGCTAAAATAAATTTCATAGGATAGGGAAAATATACTCAGCAAGCCAGGATGCTTTCTAGCAATAGTGTTAGCTATTTATGGAATAGTTACGGAAATACAGAAATAGGTAGGAAAAAATCAAATTTTAGAGGAAATTTCCTGATCTTATACAGAGAGAATACATATATTTAACTATAATTTTTAACAGTTTTATTGAGAGGTTATTAATATACTATACAATTCATCCATTTAAAGTGTACAGTTCAATGGTTTTCACTATATTCACAGAGTTATTCAACCATAACCACAGTCAATTTTAGAACATTCTCACTACCCCAAAAAGAAACTGCACCCCATAGCCACTTCCCCCAACCCTCCCATTCCTCCTGGCCATAGGCAACCACTAACATACTTTCTGTCTGTTTCTGTCTCTACAGATTTGCCTGCTCTGGAGATTTCATATAAACAGAATCATACAATACATGGTCCTTTGTGACTGGCTTCTTTCACTTAACATGCATAATATTTTCAAGGTTCATCCATGGTCTAGTATGTACCAGTATTTCATTTCTTTTTACTGCTGAATAATATTTCATTGTATGGATATACCACATTTTATTTATCCATTCATCAGTTGATGGATATTTGGGTTATTTCCACTTTTTGACTACTACGAATAGTACTATGTAGCTATAAATTTAATATAATGAGCAGTTAACACTTTCTTATTCTTATTTCTTCCCTTTATTTGTTAATCTTATTCTAAGGTAATAGTATCCTATACTCCCATTTGGATACCTGTAAAAACAGATCTTTTTCAGATCTTCCATGTATCTCCTGCAAATGTCCTGCAGAGGATCTCTCTTCAGTGGGCTAGTATTCACCAAATTATCATTCCAGGAACCATGCCAGGGCTCCACACATTCTTCTATACATTTCAGAATTTCTTTATCATGAGGAGATGTGATCTGAGCACCGTTCTCCCAATAAACCTAAATGATAGGTAAATACAGCTATAAACATTTGAAATGTTGGCCAGATGTTTTCTTAGTTACAGCAGAGATATGTGACTTTATAAAGAAGAATACCAACTTAATCAAGTAGAAAATGTCAACGTGAGACTAACTTAATAAATACTAAAGGATATTGATGGTAATGATTCCACAGACTCCTCCATAAAATGATCATGTATTATTTTCTCTTTTAGAAGTATACTTTAATAACAATACATATACATACATAGTATGTATACTGTATATATTACATATGTATATATTATGTTATTATATGTTATATTATATAATATATATTATTATTATATAATTTTATTTTTATAATTATATATTTTTATATTTATATATAATTAATATAATTTATATATAATTTTATATATAAATTTTATATTTATATATAATTCTATATATCTTTTCTATTATATATAATTTTTATAATTATACACATTATTATATTATATATTATATAACATATATGTTATAATATGTATATATTATATACGTTAATATATATTATATATATTATATACATATTATGTGTATATATATATATACATAACAATAACATACATAACAAAGATAATCTAAGAAACCATGAAATATCCATAAAACTTGATACTACGAAATTTAAGCATTATAAAGTGGTTCTAAGAAATCATTTTTCAGTTATAAATTAAAGTAGAATTTATGTCACATCAAATAAAGTAAATATCGGGAAAGACAGTTAATATGTTCATTATTCCCTCTACATTTCAATATACGAATTTTCAGTATTTAATAAAAATATATTTCATTAAGATGTCAGTTTGTCAAGTACCTTGATCAACAAGACATTAGGAACAGTTAACAAAAAAAGCAAGAAAATGTACTACTGTAATTTACAGGATCTCAAAGTCAAAAGGGCTCTGCTTAGAGACTCTCTCTAAGCAGGCATACCTCATTTTATTGTAGTTTGCTTTACTGCGCTCTGCAAAATTGGCGTTTTCTACAAATTGAAGGTTTGTAGTTAAACCTCCATCTAAGCAAGCCTATCAGCACCATTCTTCCAACAGCATTTGCTCACTTCACATCTCTGTGTCACGTTTTGGTATTTCTCACAATATTTCAAACTTTTTCATTATTATCATATTATTATGGTGATCTGTGATCAGTGATCTTTGATGTTACTACTGTAATTGTTTTGGGGTGCCATGAATCGTGCACGCATAAGACGGTGAACTTGATAGATAGATGTTTCGTGTGTTCTGACTGCTCCATTGACTGGCCATTCTCCCATCTCTTTCCGTCTCCCTGGGCCTCCCTATTCGCTGAGACACAATAATATTGAAATTAGGCCAATTAATAACACTACAACGGTCTTTAAGTTAGCAAGTGAAAGGAAGAGTCGCCTGCCTCTTACTTTAAATCAAAAGCTACAAATGATTAAGCTTAGTGAAGAAGCCAGGTCGAAGGCCACTGAAACCTAGGCCTCTTGCGCCAAACAGCCAAAGTGTGAATGCAAAGGAAAAGTCCTTGAAAGAAATTAAAAGTGCTACTCCAGTGAACACCAAAATGACAAGAAAGTGAAACAGCCTTATTGCTAACATGGAGAAAGTTTCAGTGGTCTGGATACATCAAATTTGCCACAACCCTCCCTTAAGTCAAAGCCTAATCCACAGTAAGACCCTAACTCTCTTAAATTCTATGAAAGCTGAGAGAGGTGAGGAAGCTGCAGAAGAAAAGTGTGAAGGTAGCAGGGGTTGGTTCATGAGGTCCAAGGAAAGAAGCCATCTCCATAACATAAAACTGCAAAGTGAAGCAGCAAATGCTGATGTAGAAGCTGCAGCAAGTTATCCAGAAGATCTAGCTAAGATAATTAATAAGGGCAGCTACACTGAACAATGGATTTTCAATGTAGGTGAAACTGCCTTCTATTAGAACAAGATGCCATCTAGGACTTTCATAGCTAGAGAGCAGAAGTCAATGCTTGGCTTCAAAGCTTCAAACAACAGGCTGATTCTCTCGTTAGGGGCTAATGCAGCTGGTGACTTTAACTTGAAGCCAATGTTCATTTACTACTCCAAAAATCCTAGAGCCCTTAAGAACAATGCTATACCAACTCTGCCTGTGCTCTATAAACGTAACAACAAAGCCTGGATGACAGCACATCTGTCTATAACATGATTTACTGAATATTTTAAGCCCATTGTTGGGACCTACTGCTCAGAAAAAGATTCCTTTCAAAATATTACTGCTCATTGAGAATGACCTGGTCACCCAAGAGCTCTGATGGAGATATACAAGATGAATGTTGTTCATGCCTGTTAATACAACATCTATTCAGCAGCCCATGGATCAAGGAGTAATTTCAACTTTCAAGTCTTATTTAAGAAATATTTTTTTTTTTTGAGGAAGATTAGACCTGAGCTAACTGCTGCCAATCCTCCTCTTTTTGCCGAGGAAGACTGGCCCTGAGCTAACATCCATGCCCATCTTCCTCTACTTTAATGTGGGACGCCTACCACAGCCATGGCTTGCCAAGCAGTGCCATGTCCCCACCCGGGATCCAAACTGACGAACCTCAGGCTGCCGAAGTGGAATGTGCGCACTTAACCACTGCGCCACTGGGCCAGCCCCTAAGAAATACATTTTGTAAGGCTACAGCTGCCATAGACAGTGATTTGTCTGATGGATCTGGGCAAAGCAAATCAAAAATCTGGAAAGGATTCATTATTCTACATGCCATTAAGAACATTCATGATTCATGTGAAGAGGTCAAAATATCAACATTAACAGGAGTTTGGAAGAAGCTGATTCCAGCCCTCATGGATGATTTTCAGGGGTTCGAGACTTCAGTGGAGGAAGTAACTGCAGATGTGGTGAAAATAGCAGGAGAATTGGACTTAAGAGTAGAGCCTGAAGATGTGACCAAACTGCTGCAATCTCATGATGAAATTTAGGAATTTGTTTCTCATGGACGAGCAAAAAAAAGTGGTTTCTTGAGATAGAACCTACTCCTGGTGAAGATGCTGTAAAGATTGTTGAAATGATAAAAAAGTATTCAGGATATTACATAAACTTAGCTGATAAAGCAGTGGCAGGGTTTGAGAGGACTGACTCCAATCTTGAAAGATGTGCTACTGTAGGTAAAATGCTATTAAACACCATCGTGTGCTACAGAGAAATCATTTGTGAAAGGAAGAGTCAATTAGTGCAGCAAACTTCTTTGCTGTCTTATTTTAAGAAACTGCCACAGCCACCCCAATCTTCAGCAACCACCACCCTGATCAGTCAGCAGCCATCAACATCGAGGCAAGTCCCTCCACCAGCAAAAAGATTACAACCCACTGAAGGTTCAGATGATTGTTAGCATTTTTTAGCAATAAAGTACTTTTAAACTAAGGTATGTACGTTGTTTTTTTAGACATGTCATTGCACATTTAACAGACTACAGTATAGTGTAAACATAACTTTTATATGCACGGGAAACCAAAAAATTCATGTGATCCGCTTTATTGCGATATTTGCTTTATTGTAGTGGTTTAGAACTGAACCTGTGGTGATATGAGCAACATGGTGGAATGAGCTCTCCCACTGAACTCTCCTCTCCACAATATAACGAAAAAGACATTCATATTCCAACAGAGAACATCCACACCACACAAAATATGTCTGAGAGACCCACGCAGCCATATGTTGGAAGGTGGAGAGGCTGGAGCCCCCCTTAAAGGAGGTGGAACGGGGTAAGAGAAAGTGTTTCTCCCTCTCCGAAAGACTGCAATCCAGGGATTACACGAAGGCCCCGAGAAGGAAGGAAGTGGGGAAGGGGCACCCATTCATGGGAACATCAAAGATCCCTAAGGTCCCTCACAGCCTAGGGGGAAGCCCCCTACTGAGGTGAAAGCTACCATGGGGGTGACTTCATCAAGCCAACACCCCAGGAGACCAGATAGTGAGGGCAGAGCAGGAACGCCCCGAGAGCATGCAGAATAAAGTGCCCCTCCCCTCCCCAGCGCCAGCTCCTGGGCCTGGGATGCTGGCAGAACACACAGGGCTCAGAATACGCAGCTCTTGAACCCCATCCAGTGGCAATAGGTGGTAACTACGACCAAATAATACCACAGTGCACAAGAACAGAGCCACATCCTCTAGCGGTATCAAAAATTACATTAAATCTCCAGGACAGAAAGAAAATGACAAGGATTCAGAAACCAATCCTGAAGACACAGAAATATATAATTTAAATGACAGAGAATTCAAGATAGCTATCATCAAAAAACTCAATAAGTTAAAAGAGAATATAGACAAACAATTCCACGAGTTTAGGAGCTACTTCATAAAAGAGATTGAAAGTATAAAGAACCAATCAGAAATAGTGGAGATGAAAGAAACAATGGATGAGATAAAACAAAATATGAATTCCCTAAATGCTCAAGTGGATAACGTCAAGGAGCAAATCAGCATAACTGAAGATAAGACATATTGAAATGCTCCAGATAGAGGAGGAGAGAGAACTAAGAATAAAAAGAAATGAAGAAAGTCTCTGAGAAATATCTGACTCAATTAGGAAATGCAACATAAGAATTATAAGTCTTCAAGAGGGAGAAGAGAAGAAGGGAGCAGAAAGTTTGTTCAAAGAAATAATAGCAGAGAACTTCCCAAACTGGGGAAAGGGATGGAAATCCATGTGGAAGAGTCTACCAGATCTCCTATATATGTCAATGTGAAAAGACCTACTGCAAGGCTTAAAGCAGTGAAACTGGCAAAAGTAAATGACAAAGAAAAAATACTACGGGCACCAAGGTAAAAGAAAATAACCTAAACAAAGGAACCTCTATCAGGCTTTCAGCAGATTTCTCTGCAGAAACCTCACAGGCTAGGAGAGACTGCAATGACATATTCAAATCTTTGAAGCACAAAAACTTTCAGCCAAGAACACTCTATCCAGCGAAAATATCCTTGAGATATGATGGAGAAATAAAAACCTTCCCAGATAAACA